ACTGTGACCTTTCGGGTCGGCACCTCTTTGGTACCCTGTCAGGAGTGACACCACCGTGTTTCTCGAAACACGGAAACCGAGACGGCGATTACGTCACGCCGTCGCGCGAGCGGTTCCGTATGTGGTCAGACGGATTCTTAATGTCGATTCGAGAGACAACATTGGAAGTGACTCAGATACACTTAATTAACAAGGGTTTATTTACAAATCTATTGGATGAAGAATTTTCGCGGAGAGAGAGAGTGCACATACACTTCGCGGGATGATAAATACCTTTGTTAATAGATTCGGGTCTTGTTCGGATCTTGTTCGGATTATAACAGCTTCCGATGGGTTTAAGGTTTCTGATTCGTTATCCAGGCGATTCACTAACACACACACACACACACAGACAAGTTTATCCTATGGCGATTAATTCGGATTCATTAATGGATGATAATTGAAGGGAGGACGACTTCTTTCCTCTCCGAGGACTAAGGCAGCGACTAACTCTTTTCGGCCGTCTCTGATGATATTCACGGACGATTTCGGCCGTGCAGAGGTTAATAGTTCACGAGAAAGCGTCATGTTGCTTTCGAGAAAATGTAACGGGAGACTTTCTCAGGTAGCTAAGAACAACAATTGTTGCGTAATTCGCGAAACGTTATTATTAAAGACTATTTCAAATATAAGAATTTCTGCTATCTCACACTTTATTTAATCTCATATGTAAAAAGTATTAAAAATAACATTCAATTGTGAAACTGTATTTTATTAATTTTAAAATAATAATTTCTAAAAAAAAACAATTATATTAAACTAGGACATAGCGCGACTTTATCGTATAGCGATAGAATTGAGACGGAACCGGAAAGAAAGAAGCGTTCCTTGCAAAGAAGAGACGATCCTTGTACTGTACCTGACGGTCGCAGACAAGCAAATTTTGAACTTTCCGCCACAAAAGACCTATCCTTGTACCTGTAGGCCTATATGTGGCTAGAGCACTTAGCACCAGGAGCAAACTTCAATATGGCGCCTTTTAGATAAGCCTTTCACTAGTCTTTTACATATTTAAAAATTATAAAATAACTTATTATTACTATAAGACACATTTGATAATATAATTTCTCATACTCGTGGCGACAGTCTACTATAAATTTATTAGTTTGTCATGTAACAATTCTGAAATTTTGGTGCCCTGTCTTGACGACCTGGCACATACTCCCACTACCTATGCCTTTACACAATTTTGTTTGTGTCTACCGGCCACGGAATAGGCGATTCTTGCGCTGGCCAGATAAAGAGGCGAGGCGATCCAAGAATAAAGCAATGCTTTGTTCTTTGTTTTATTCGTTTTTCGCACCTATTTTCTATTGGGCACATGCAATGCTGTTTTTTCTCCCAAATTCCGTTAGGTGCGCTCAATCGCGTCAGGGAGCACAGACATTGTCACTTTGACTTCACTGTATATCAAACACGAAGTCATGGACCCCTATTTTTTACATTTAAACGGATCCTCATTACATTTATGAATTCCTCTTCACAATTAATGAAAAATCGCAAAGTTTTATCAAAATTGGCTGAGAACGAACTCAATTCGATAAACCCATAAAAGACCTGATTGCGACCTAAGGACATCGTTTGACAAAGTCGCGCGCGCTCCTGTTATGACCTTGTATCTAGAAAACAAAATTATAGACACATATTTTTTACTTTCCTGGTTGTTATATTTAACAGAGGAAAAGTATGGCGATTGGTCAAAAAATGACCACCCCAGAAAAACTTTACATTTTTGGACTCGGGACATCTTGAAACGTCGAGAAATGCAAAATATTTCGAGTGTTTTTTCTGTATGTATGGACATTAGTGTGTAGGGGGCACGATTTTGTTCATCCTTTTTGAAGCTTAATAACTCCTGTGTTTTTCGTCAAAAATTTTTGAAATTTTACAGGAAAGGTTTGTATATTGGGATATTAATGCTATTAAATTTTACTTAAAGGTCGACGGGGTGGCCAGATAAAGACGATCGTGTGTCGAATCTCGAGTAATGTCGGACTTCATAACGATTTTACTTGTTATTAGTATTTACAATTTTTTATAAAATCTATCCCTATCCTCAAAATCAAGCTTTTTGCCATTTTATAATAGGTTAATTAAAAATATAATAAGTTTTTAATAATAACAGATGGCGCACACGCAGTTTTAAATGTTGCCGGGAAAATTAAGCAACTCGTTGCTGGATTTTTTTATAACATTTTTGGATTTCTCATTTGAATAAATCGAAAATGGCAAAGTTTTATCAAACTCGATCGATCAAATATTGAGATCGAATGCAATATTGTAAGAGATATAGAAGGGGTTTCGCTACCTCTCCCCCCCTCTCTCTCTCTCTCTCTCTCTATATATATATATATATATATATATATACCAGCCCAAACATTAACTCATTGTGG